CTAGTCTGGGTTTTTCAGGATATACCTTTAGGAGACGCACTTCCTAGTATGGGTTTTTCAGGATATACCTTTAGGAGACGCACTTCCTAAATTGAGATTTCACCCCTAGGAGACGCACTCCTAGTTTAGGTCATTTAAGTTGAGCCCTAGGAGACGCACTTCCTATCTTGGTTCATTCAAGTTTCACCCCTAGGAGACGCACTTCCTAGTCCGAGTTTTTCAGGATATACCTTTACGAGACGCACTTCCTAAATTGAGATTTCACCCTTAGGAGATGCACTTCCTAGTTTAGGTGATTTAAGTTCAGCCCTAGGAGACGCACTTCCTAGTTTGGTTCATTCAAGTTTCACCCCTAGGAGATGCACTTCCTAGTCCAGGTTTTTCAGGATATACTTTTAGGAGACGCACTTCCTAAATTGAGTTTTATCCCTAGGAGACGCACTTCCTAGGTTGTGTTATTTAAGTTCACCCCTAGGAGACACACTTCCTAGTTTGAGTCATTGAAGTTTCACCCTTAGGAGACACACTTCCTAGTCTGAGTCATTGAAGTTTCACCCCTAGGAGACGCACTTCCCAGTCTAGGTATTTCAAGTTATTCTTTTAGGAGACGCACTTCCTAAATTGAGTTTTTACCCCTAGGAGACGCACTTCCTAGTTTGGATCATTTAAGATCATTCCTAGGAGACGCACATCCTAGTTTGAGTCATTAAAGTTTCACCCCTAGGAGACGCACTTCCTAGTCTGGGCTTTTAAGTATATTTTGTTTTAGGAGACGCACTTCCTAAATTGAGATTTTACCCCTAGGAGACGTACTTCCTAGTTTTGGGTTATTTAAGTTCATTCCTAGGAGACGCACTTCCTAGTTTGAGTCATTGAAGTTCCACCCTTAGGAGATGCACTTCCTAGTCTGGGTTTTTCAGGATACACTTTTAGGAGATGCACTTCCTAAATTGAGATTTCACCCCCTAGGAGACGCACTTCCTAGTCGGGGTCTTTCAAGTTATATTTTTGTTTTAGGAGACGCACTTCCTAAATTGAGATTTCACCCCTAGGAGACGCACTTTCTAGTTTGAGTCATTGAAGTTTCACCCCTAGGAGAAACACTTCATAGTCTTGGTCTTTCAAGTTATATTTTTGTTTTAGGAGACGCACTTTTTTAGTTTGAGTCGTTGAAGTTTCACCCCTAGCAGACGCACTTCCTAGTCTGGGTTTTTCAAGATGTACTTTTACGAGACGCACTTCCTAAGTTGAGATTTCATCCCTAGGAGACGCACTTCCTAATCTGGATCATTCAGGTTTTATTTTTAGTAGATGCATTTGCTAGTCAAATTTTCTTGGTTTTACTCAAAGGAGACGCACATCCTAGTCGAGTCTTTAGTTTACTCTCATCATTGCATCAATAGCCTAAGTGGTTTACAGTTTTGCTAACAATTCACAAATCCTCCGAGTGCAAACTGGGGCAGAAAATTTTGTTTGTTTTGTTGTTTTGATTGTAGGCACCCACCTGGAGAACAAGGGAATTCATTTCGGAATTATTTCAAGTTTCAAGTCAGTAGCAGGCACCCAACTGGAGAACAAGGGAAGTCATTTCAGAATTCAATTCAAGTTAGAAGTAGCAGAAGCTCGGGGCAAGAATGCGAGTCAACAAGCGAGGTGACCAACAGAGGTAGTCTCAATCCAGAATGAAAGAAAAGAAAAAAAAATGAATCCAAAATACAGAAGCAAAGAAAGATGTGAGTTGCTCAAAACATGGCTGAAGTCACGAGCACTACATGTCCGGTCTTGATCCGGAAAAGCTAAAGAAGAATGAACTAGCACCTCCAACTAGCAAGCATCAAAGTTCAAATCAAAGTCTGCATGAAGAACCGTTCAAGACTCAAGATCAAGCTTCAGAAGACTTATAGATAGGAATTTTGTAACTCATAGTTGACAGGATTAGTTAGTCTTTTTCATTTTTTTTTATTTTGATGTAATAACAGGACCGCGGACCGGAACCTCGACGGAACGGCACCTCAATCGGCTCTCCACCTCGGTATACTCCATCACTCTTCCTGTTTCTGAACTACACGTGGCCTGATTCCTTTATAGCCAAGGATATGTAGGCAGCTCAGATACCAGGGCTAGGTCACATTCTCCTTTCTTTTAGTCTTTGGTCTCTCTAAATAAGGGTCGGGTCAAAAAACTTGTCTTGTCGTTCTTTGTCTGAAAATACTTCGTGTTTCCACTGAAAGAGGGGCAGCTGTAGACATTTCATTTTTGACCCTATCCAAGATTTTACTCATTTTAAATAGTTTTAACTATTTTACTTTATTTTATCACAAAAATAAAAATTACAAAAAAGAATATTTACTTTTATTTGGCTAATTAATATTTTATCTAGTTACTTTTAATTTATCTACTTTACATAAAATTCAAAAATGCAAAAATAGTTTCACTTTGTTTTTAGGAATATTATTTTGATTTTTGCAATGATTTTAATCCAATTCCATTTTTATCTTTTAGTGTAATATTTGAAAAATATCAAAAAAATACGTTTGTTTTAACGATTAGTCTTATTTTAATAGTTATTTTACGTAAGTAGGATTAATTAGTAAATGAGGTATTATTTTTAGTCTTGTTCACGGAGAAAGAATAAAATTTGGGCTCAAACAACCCATTTTTTAGGCCTAATTTTCGGATCTAGCCCATAATAACCCTAGCCCAATACCCCTAAAACCCTAGACCTAGACATTAAAAGAACCCTAGAGTCTAAGTTTGGATCAGTCGTTTCTGGAAAAAAAAAACCTAAACACATACAAAACCTTCAGCTCCTTCATCTTCCTTAAGAAAACCCTAGAGAAGAACAACCACCCCAGAGCAGCCTAACACCACCAGCACAAACAACACCAGCCGTCACCCCCAAGAGACCCCTCACCGCTGATCTTCTTCTTCAACCTGCAACAGTCGTTGCTTCTTCTTCTTCGCACGGAACAGACGTGAACGACACACCCTAAGCCGCTAAAGCTCCAAAACCACGACAACCCTTCTGCTTCTTCCCATTAACAAAGCTCGCCGGAAACTAGAAGGCAGCCGCTGCTGCTCTTTCACCTCACCTAGACCACCAGCAATCGATCTGGCCATAACACTCAAGTGATGCTTTTGTTGTTGCGAGTCCGCAGAGTAGCGTTGTTGGTTGTGTTTGTGCGTAAGAATAAGTAAAAATCCGTCTGGGTCTGGATCTGACCGGTGACCTCCATTAACGCCGACGAAATAACATTTTTGTCTCTCGTTGCCGAAATCACCATTTCTGGCGCCCTTACACAGTCCAAAGATCCTCCAAGTAACTATTTTTCTGTTCTATTGCTGTTTGGCATTTTTTGCCTTTTGTTTTGATTTTGAGACCTTGCCGGAGATGTCAGTGTCTGAGGTTGTTGCTTGAAATTCTGTCCGAAAGTTCCATCTGTTGGTTCCTATCGACGTGCCATTTGTTCTCGACGTTTGTTAGTGTGTATTTGCTGTTGGATACCTAATCAGAAAGATCTTATCAAGGACCATTTCTATTTCACCTCTCATTCATATCTAGTTGTGATCATTAAGCATTATTTAGATGACCTGGATATGAGTTTTCTTTTAATTGGAATTAGTTGATTATCCGTGCGGTTTTTGCTCCTATTGCTTTTATGCGCTGGTTCATCATGTTAGTAACTACATATTATCATGTTTGGCCTCTCTTGTTCATCGAGCTCTTGGTAGATTCCTATGATTCTAACTCGGCTTGTTTGCAATTGAAATGCTTATTTACGGAAGATAAAAGTATGAATTGCATTTGGTCATTTGTTATAACTTGGATAATAAAATCACAGACTTAAGTCCATAGTGCTTTTCTTTTATATATTCAAGCCTTACAATAATCTCAAACTAGTCTCAGGAAAAATAGCTTATAAATATTTGTAGTTTGCTTCAGGCACGCTATAATAAAAATCATCATAGCTACGGGTACGGTTCTCGTGACGTAGTTGTGATGCATAATTTTCAAATTCGGGGGTACATCTTAGGTGACCCGGCCACTACTTTTAATAATGTTAATAAATTAAACATGTTGTAGATCGTGGGTACGGTTCCCGTGACACGATTCGCAATGTGTACCAAACAAACAAGTGTACGACAATTGTAACTTGTTCCAAAATAATTCCATAAATAATTAAAAGCGCTTAAAGGTTAAAAAATGCACATAGGTTTTAAAGCTTATAATTAATCAGATAATTAGGCCAATTATTAATAGTTAAGCAACCGTGCTAAAACCACGAAACCCGAGAATGCCTATCACCTTCTCCCGGGTTAACAGAATTCCTTACCCGGATTTCTGTGTTTTGCGGACCGTAAAAATAGAGTCATCTTCCTCGATTCAGGATTTTAAACAGGTGACTTGGGACACCATAAACTATCCCAAGTGGCGACTCTGAATTTGAATAAATAATCCCATTTCGGTTATTGTCACTTTAATTGAAAAAACTTCCCTATATACCCTTTTCGGGGTAGAAAAAGGAGGTGTGACAGCTCTGACGACTCTGCTGGGGAAAATAACCCAGAACTTCTGGTTTAGGGTTCAAGAATTCGAGCTTAGAATAATTGTTATATTTGGCTTTTATTTATTATCTGATTTTTATTACATGCTTGGGCCTAATGTGCTAAATGTCGCTTTTTACCGCTTTGATATTATTTGAACTATGTATAAACTGCTGTAAAACCCCTCTCTTCTAATCTTCTGGGAAGTGCACGCTGGCCTGACTTCTTTTCTGTTAGTGTCATACCCTAACGTTTAACTCGAGTGTTATTCATGAGTACATATATTACCAGTGCATCATTATGGGGCTGTGAGATTCCTTCCGCATCCTCATTATTGAAAAATAAAGTCCCTTATAGCATGTAATCACGAGTCCCTTTTTCCCTCGTGATTGATACTTTGGTGCGTTTAAACATTAGACCTTGAGGAACATCGACCCCTCCGATGATCATATGAATCACGTGCTGAGTCTCTTCTCGCTCGTTTTGTTTATTGGAATCCCTATTTCTGAAATGATTCTTGGTTTGATCGCTAAGAAACTCCTGAAGATGCCCGTTGTTAATAACCGGGCTACTTCTTCTCTTAATTTCCGACAATCTTCTATTCGGTGGCCATGGGTGCCATGACATTCAGACATTTGGTTGGTATCTCTTCGGGCCAGATCGACGTGTAGAGGTCGAGGCCATCTGGTATCCTTGATGCGTTCGATTGCTGATATGATGGCGTCTGCGTCAACATTAAAGTTGTATTCTGATAATCGAAGTTCTTCTTTGGGCCCGATAGGATTTTTGAAGTCGTTCTTGCTTATGAGTGCTCGGGAGCTCTGACCTCTATTACCTCTCCTTTCATTCCGTGCAGGATTCCGCCCAGGTTCGCTGCTTCTGCGATCTCCACTATATGGTTGGTATAGATCTTTGTTCGCCCTTGGTTCTTGATCAATATCCCTCTTAATTCCGGGTCTAATAGGATAAGACCCGGAAGGAGCCCTAAGTTGGTCATCTTGGACCCTGATCTTTGATTGATACCGATTATGCACATCGGCCCAAGTGACAGTCGGATATTCTATCAAATTCTGTTTCAACTGCTGCGAGTCCACAGAGCTTTGAATATTGAGTCCTTGGCTGAAAGCTTGAACTTCCCAATCGTCAGCGACTGGTGGCAGGTCCATCCATTCCATTTGGAATCGAGACACGAATTCTCTGAGCATTTCGTTGTCTTTCTGCCTTACCTTGAAAAGGTCTGATTTCCTGGTTTCAATCTTGATGGCTCTGGCGTGTGACTTCACGAAAGAATCTGCAAGCATAGCAAACGAGTCAATAGTCTTAGGAGGTAAATTATTGTACCATATCATAGCCCCCTTTGACAGGGTTTCTTCGAACTTCTTTAGTAAGACAGATACGATCTCGTCATCCTCTAGGCCGTTCCCTTTGATAGCACATGTGTAAGAGGTGTCATGCTCGTTCGGATCGATTATTCCGTTGTATTTAGGAATCTCAGGCATTCGAACTTCTTGGGGATCGGTTTGGGAGCTACAGTTGGGGGGAAAGGCTTCTGCACGAACTTTTGGAGTATAGGCCCTTCAATATCGGTGGTGCCCCCGGGATTTGGTCGACCCTGGAGTTGTAAGATTCCACCTTCTTATTGTTTGCCTCGATCTTCTTTTACCCGGACTCAATTTGTTTTGTTAACTCCTCGAGCATCTTCATGATTGCGATGTAACGACCCGACCGGTCATTTTGAGCTCTAGCGCGTCGCTCAACAGTTTGGGGCCATTAGCAGCTTCACTTCAGGTATTATGACTTGTACGCATGGTCGGAATTGAATTCCGGGGAACTCGGAGTTGATTTGGAAAGGGAATTCTCATTTTGGAAGCTTTAAGTTGAAAGAATTGACTAAGATTGGATTTTAGAGTAAACGACCTCGGAATCGGGATCAGGTTCTAGCAGGTCCTTATTATGATTTTGGACTTGGGCGTATGCCCAGATCGGGTTTTGGATGACCCGGGAGCGTTTTGGCGCCTATTGTGGAAGTTAGCATTTTGGAAGAAATTTTATAAGTTTGGGTTGAAGTGCATTTCAGTGTTATCGATGTCCGTTTGGGATTCCGAGTCTGGGAGTAGATGGTGATTCTGGAGTTGGGAGCACGATCGGAAGTGAATTCGGAGGTCCATAGGTCATTTTGAAGTCATTTGGCTAAAGATAGAAATTTGAAGGTTTTTGAGAAGTTTGACCGAGAGTTTGAATTTTTGATATCGGGGTCGGATTCCGATTCCGGAAGTTGGAGTAGGTCCATAATGTCGAATATAACTTGTGTGCAAAGTTTGAGGTCAATCGGACGTGATTTGATAGATTTCGGTATCGAATGTAGAAGTTTGAAGTCCTAAAGTTAATAAAGTTTGGATTGAGGTTTGATTCGAGATTTCGGCGTTGCTTGATGTGATTTGAGGCCTCGAGCAGGTCTGTATTATGTTTTGGGACTGGTTGAGGTCCCGAGGGCCTCGGGTGGATTTCGGAAGGTTAACGGAATGAATTTCACACCAAAGAGTTGCTGAAATATTCTGCAGAAAGCTGTTTTGACAGCAACTAGTGCAATCCCGTAGCTGAATTTGGAAGCTTATATCTCGAAATCTATAAGGAATCTGAAAATTTGCAAAACACAAAAGTTGTTACCCTTGCATTCTAGTTTCCAAAAAGTTAAACAATTCATGATTTGGACATTTTATCAGAAAGTTATGATCGATTGAATATGGCTGGTGGAGCAGTTTCGACAGAATTTTCTGATGCATGGAACCGACTTTAGAAGCTCATATCTCGGAATATATAAAGAGTTATATGGTGTGCAACCTATCAAATGAAATATCTTCGAGTTTGTAATTTTGTTATTTCCACAAGGAGTTATGGGCGTTTTAACAGAAGGTGTACAACAAGGGAAAATTGTAATAGGATGTACAACCTGCACAGCGCAAGGTACAACTCGATGAAGCTGGGCAGATTGTTTTAAACACGAGTTTTGGCCCATTTCTTTCATTTGGCTTGGACGATTTTGGAGAGTTCAAGGAGGGATTTTCACCAAGCAACACTAGGTAAGTGATTTCTTCCTATTTTTGAGTTAAATATGTGATCTTACATGGATTTAGACTTGAAAAATTAGTATAAATTTGGGATTTTTGGGGAAGACCTAGAATTTGGAATTTTGGACTTTTACCTTGAATTTTTGCATGAAAATTAGAGCAAATTGTATATTTGATTTACTAAAGCTATGGGTAGAATTTATCTTCGAGAAATTTCGGAATCCGGGAACGTAGGCCCGAGGGCATTTTGGTCAACTTTTCGAGCGAAGTTGGGAACTTATATAATTTGAGTTGTTACAAGTATTAGAGTGAATTTTTATTGGTTTGCCCGTTGTTTGAATAGTTTTGGGGTGTTATGCATCAATTGGAGTCGTTGGAAGGGCTTGGAAGCCGGTTATGAAAATTTCGGAGCGAGGTGAGTCTCATTTCTAACCTTGTAAGAGGGAATTGTCCCCATAGGTGAAATAATTGGTTATGTTCTCCTATTTGTGGGGCTACGTACGCACGAGGTGACGAGAGTGCGTGCGTAGTTACAAATATGTGTAAGTCCGGGTAGTCTAGGACCCAAAAGCATGCTATACTTGGAATATATGTGATCTTATTGACAGTTGAATTTCTTAAATCCTATCGAATTGGTAAATGAATTTCTAAGAGGATTAAACTTCATTTTCTTAAACCATTAAAAGAGAATTGGCTTTTATTTGGATAAATGTTCTCCGATAAATTCTTAATTTGCTGTTTAAGCATGTATTTCTTTATGTACCTGTGTCGCATGTATGATTCGCGAGCAGGGTGATTGTTTAGTTAAATTTGACCGTGTCGCATGTATGATTCGCGAGCGGGATAATAGATGCATCTATGGTTCGCGTCGTTCGACCCTCGGCAGTGAACATTTTACATTTATGTTGGATCGGGTCGTACGACCTCAGCATGAGTTGCGCATGCTTGTATTGCCTGCCTTGAGATTTATTGAGATTGATATCTGCTCTCCCCGGCTTGAGATAATTGTTAATTAATGGATTATGAATCTGGAGACTTTTAAAAAAAAGGAACTTTTACCTGTTTCGTGGCTCATTTGAATTCATTGGCGTTCTCAATAAATCAGTGATTCATCGCATGAATAATATTATTATTGGACCATTAGTAAGTGTCGATGTTGCCATCTCGTCTCTACTTCTTCGAGATTAGGCGGGATACTTACTGAGTACACGTTGTTTTCGTACTCATGCTACACTTGTTGTGCATTTTGCTGCACAGGTACAGGTATTACTAGTGGCCTACTGGCGTAGCAGCATGGATGATACGGAGACTAGGTGAGTTGTATTTCTTGAGGCGACCCGCAGCTAGTATAGTCTCTCTCTCTCAGCATTGTATTTACTTTCTGTCCAATTTGTGTTCCGGACAGTTACCATACTTTATTCGATTTCTTAGAAATTGCTCATGCACTTGTGACACCGGGTTCTAGGATGATTATGAAGTATTTTGTATTAACTGCTTAACATTCAATTGATTTGAAACGATTATCTCCTACTGGTAAATTAAGTCATAGTTTTCATGAGTAATAAAACGAGAATTTAATTAAGTATTTTTTTTGGCTTGCCTGACTGTGGTGCCCGGCGCCATCACGACCCTTAGTGGATTTTGGGTCGTGACATGCAGGATCGGTCCCTGACTCTTTTTCGTTCGATTTCTTTGAAATCGATTCGACCCTGTGGGCAACTTCCTGTGATGGTTCAGGCCCGATCCTGCTCGGCGGGTTATTCTAATTTTGGAGCTGGGCGATTTCTGCCTGTTGGGCCTGCAACATTTCGAACATCACTTGCAAGGTTGATCCTGCCGCCCTCATCGACACGTGTACTTTGAGCGGATGATCGGTCCCTCAGGATCGACTGCGAAATTGGCGTTAAGGGCTATATGTGAACTGATGTCGATTGGATCAACAGCCGGAACTCCATCGAGATCAACTAGGGGTACGTCGTTTCCTGATGCTATGTTATCATTCTCCCCTTGGGGGCCGAAACCGTTGCCAATGTTAAGGGGCGCTGACTGAGAGTTCAACATTCTGATACTGGAATCAAAGATACTTCAAAGAACAAGTGAAAAATAGTGTGTATTATGAAACTTTGCACCGAGTAACCACTATTATCCTTAGCCTTACGGTGGGCGCCAAAGTATTCACCCTAAAATCAGATAAAAATTAAATTTAGATGTGGTTTTAAGGACACGTGATATAACTTGGCACAAATTAAGAAGATATATATATTAATATTGAAATTAACTGCAAAGAAATAAATACAAACCGAACGAATCGAACAGCCTTGGCCCTCGAGTTCGATCTCCCTTAAACCAAGTGAAGTTTCAACAGTGTAACAAGATAATGGAAACTAAAGAAAGGCAGTATATTTCTTTGTATTGAGTAACTGTTGATGTGTTTTACACATGATCAAACCCCCTTTATATAGTAGGGTAGTCCTACCCTTGATACAATTCTAAATACAGCAAGAAATCTCATGATTAGCTAATTAATCGGCCTCTTATTGATACATGCCGAGATTTCCGCTATGATCCTCGCTCGATCGCGGATATTTTGGCTTTCCATTATTTGGCTCAGTAAGCTTCCCTGGATCGCGCTAGATCTCTATCTTGCTCGGTCTCGATCTTGGCCGATCTCGATCTTGATCGGTCTCTAGGCCACGAGCTAGGCTCTAAAACTAGGTAAGCCTAACATTAACAGAAATAACGACAATATTTGCTAACATCGAACAATTTCGAATTGAAATCTCCGTACAATTTACAATCCCAAAAGCAGTAGTACAAGTCATAAACCTTTCTAGAAGTAGTTATATATAATGAATACATCACTGTTCCAGAACAAAAGGAAACAATGAAAATAAATACAATAGAAGGTGACTTCGGTGCCTGCGAACGCCCAGCAGGTGTACCTTGAAATCTTTGACCACACCAAGCATAAGTCTCAAAACCAACCCGATCCGAAGTACCTGGTTCTGCACAAAAAGATGTGTAGAAGTGTAGTATGAGTACACCACGGTTGTACCCAGTAAGTATCAAGTTTAACCTCGGTAGAGTAGTGACGAGGCCAGGTCAAGACACTACCGAATATATAACCTACAGGATATGACTTAAATCTAACAAGAGAGGACTATCAGAGTAATACCAATAGCAGGAGGATATCAAATTGCAAACAGTAGTAACGATAAGAGGAAAACAAGAATGACAATGAGAATTAACCAAGTAATTAAACTACAACATAGTTGGGGTCCGGATGAAGCATAAATGAGTAAGTAGGGAAAACAATGTTAACTCAACCAATTGAATCATTTCTAATACACAATTCAAATAATCCCAATCCTCGTAATCTCATATCATAATCACAACTTCCAAACCTTAACCACACATGTCACCTTGTGAGC